TTTGGAGTAGCTTAATAGCCGGTTACATACTTTAGTTCCCTCCTCACTCAAGAATTCAATCATGGTAGATAGATTCCTCATGGCGGGGGGGACTATAAGGACGTTCAGATCGTCGGCAAATAAATGAAATGTTTTGTTTCCTTTCATGACGGTTATAAGTGGAATCTGGTTGAAAAACTGAATGTTGAAAATCATACAGAAGGCGACTGACGCTTTTGTAGAAGCACAAAACTCTTAAAACGTAAAAGTTTATTATTCTTTTAAGTTTGTTTTAGACATTCGAAGATTAATTGAAAATATGGGTAAAGGACAAAGTATTCACTGTGATATTTGTAATGCAGACTGTTGTTATGATTGCCAAGCTTTTAATCGTGCTGGGTGTGGTGATTGTTTTGGACAACTTCAACTAATCAATGCACACGATGGCAATCCTTTCAAAGATCAGATTGAAACAGACGTTAAATGTAAAAAATGTTCACATTCCTTTAAATACCACAATTTTAAACGTATTGAATGAGACCTTCTCCTACTTTTTTCAGTTATGTTTTTCAATCTCAAAAACTTTTAATGTCCTTTCTCTCTCAAAATACCTTCTGGATAAGAATATAATGATTTTATCTGGAACAGGAAGTCGTAGCTATTTCTGTTTTTCGAATACACAAGATTTCTTATAGTTAACGATTTTAATGAGAAAGATCTACAGGCCATATGTAATCGAACGACGATGACAGCAGCTATCCGGAACAAAGTAGACAATACCATGTTAAATAAGTGCCAAAACGAAAGGGAGAGTTTTCAAGATTTAAATAATAAGTAACATACGCTAGCCAATGACTGATTGAACGGTGAAAATGTTGGGAATGTAGATGTGAGACTAGCTGCTATGACGCGTTTCGATCTAACTGTAATGCACAGAATTGTATGAAATGACAGTATCGGTCTTCTCCTGGTATTCTAGATCAAATGAGCTTCATCGCGCAGGCTTAACGGAGCAACAGAGATTAACTTTCAATAATCGACTGCCACACTATCGAATTGGAATTGAGCACGTTACAAAAGATATCAAATTATTTCGCGTGATGTCAGATGCTCAACGTCATTTTAAAAACGACTAAAGATTTTATTTACATATAGCTAATTGTGTATTTGGATTACCTAATACTCGTTTCGAGGATTTTAACACTGATACTAATACTGATACAGCTGATGAAATTGATATAAGTAAATGGAAAATTTTCCCAATGGTGAAGAGAGATCCTTTTCGTTTTTCTGGAAATCGTGAAGCATAAGCTTATGGAGCAGACTCCCATCAAATTCTAGAATTATATTTTCCTTAGAAATATGATACAAAAAATCGTCTATGAAACAAATCGTTACGCTGAAACTATGTGTAATACTCCGAATCCTCGTCGACAGTATTCACGTATAAACCACCAAAAAAGCGGATTTCTGCTCCGTATCGGAAAGCTGGGACATTTTTGAGTATATCTAGGTGGTTTTGGAGGTTTCCATACTAAATCCAAGGAGAAAAGCCTGTTTTTAATGAACCAGGACACTGACGCCATCTGTCAGTAAAATCCAATTTTTTTGACCAAAACTTAACCGTTTTCCAGTTTTGACCTGATATTCATGATCAGCATCAAATTCTGCATCGAATAAAGTATCTTTAGAAAAATTCTGAGTAAAAACGTTTTTCGATGTTCCAAAGGTGGGATAGCGACTACAAATTTTCCGAAAAATTGAAAATGATTTGAATTTCACGCAGAATTTCACGCTGATTCTGAATACCAAGACTCTTGTGTTCAGAAATACCAAAGGAAAAGTTTGATCTTTATGAGCCCTTGCTTTCTCTGTACATATAGATTTTATGTATTTAGACAAATAGTTTTGCATTTTTGGCTACATATTAGAGGGTTTTCACAAAGATTTTATGCTCATTTTATAGAGAATTTTCAGCTCTACAACATAGAGAAATTTCTTTTGTATGATCATTTAAAGCAAATCATTCTGAGTACTTTATGTAGAAAAATCATGCTTCTTAAATGACGGCTTTTAAGGCTAGTGAGGTAAAGTATTTTGCATTTTTAGGCATGTGTTCCCAGGTCGAATTTCGCGCGAAAGTCGCGGCACGACTCGCGCTAAAAAGTCGCGGCGCGAACGCGCTACGCGATCGCTATAGGACTCGCGAAGTAAGACTCGCTTTTAGCGATCGCTATAAAGTCTTGCTATAGTGATTCTCGCGACACGATCTTGCTAATTATATAAGAGGATCGCATTCTCGTGGCGGGAGTCTTGCCGTGTTTTTAAAATCGCGACGCGAGTTAGCATGAGTCGTGGTCAATCGCGTCGCGAATCCTGTTATGCAGATTGGTTCTACAAGGATCCTGCGATAAGTTCCAGCAAGAATCGTGCATATACTGGATTGCATAGTGGTCTGTATAGTTGGCCTGAGTACTTCCAATTCAGCAGGTTTCATATTCTTTTTTCCGTTGGTTAGAACTTACAACATGTCCTAATTTGAAGCAGCATGTGTATTATCAAGTGTCCTCTACACGATGCACTCAAAGAAAAGCCAAACCGTTTTCTTAAAGCCTGAAAACTCCCTTCGAAAAAGAGCCTCAAAAACATTTTGTCAAAAATTAGCGAAAGATGGTGAAAAGTTAAGTTTCTTAGAAAACACTTTAGCTAGCGTTCGAACTTCAAAAATAATAGTGCATTTTGTAGAGAATTTAGTTCTCTATTTGGCAGAGTAGTTCTCAAAATTTTTGAACGAAATAAGTTGGTCTGGAAATTGAAATTAAAAAGTTCAGAAATTTAAGGGAGGAGTACCGTCCTTAAATAGAGGATCGCAGAGAAGACGACGAAGATGAGACAGACGATATTATTTTTTAAAAAGTGCATTCAAATGCGTTAGTGACCGTCCTTGGCACGCATTTTCACAACTTTCGCAGGTACAAGCAACATCCAAGAACGCGTTCGAACATAAGTGCCGTGGAAGTAACTGGAAAACGCGTTGCAAGAACGGCCACGAACGTGTTTGGAGGTTTGACACTGGCGTGCGACATTGTTTCAATTCAAACTTTTTTTCTGTGGACACAGAAATACATTAATGTTTATTTACTTATAAGTAATTAAATATTCCGCATACGCTTGTGCATCATGATATGTAACAAAAATATGTTGTCCGTCTGTTGTCGTATCATACCCAACGGGACGTGTTTTCATCGTACCATTACCAAGTATGGTTTTACCAATGAGAACACGAGATACAAACATAAAACGTTCACCCTTTGAGTTTGGTTTTGCATACGTATGACTGTATGTTGGTTGTGAAGAAAAATAGACACCGAACCC